GGGGGGAATAGAGGTATAAAAATCTGCCGATCCACCCAAATTTGAAGCAATCTAATTTTGGATCCGCTAAAAGGTTAGCACTATTTTCCATCCAGCAAACTGACCTGATGTCATTTTCGCAAGATGGAGGAGGTGTTAAATGGCTATGTAACTAACCCAAACCCTACCCCTACTCTAACCACTAACCCTAACCTCAACCCTAACTCTAACCCTATAACACTAACCCTAACCGAATTAATAAAAAAATCCAAAAAGAAACGACTTTACAAAATCGATAGGGCGGTTTGCTGGATGTTAAAAAGTGCTAACCCCGCTAAAAGCAGACATTCCAACTACTCAAGGTAAAATTTAGGGAGACTGTTCAGTGAATTGAAATTTTGTTCTTCTGTGAAAAAATTTTAAAAATTAAGTCTTCTGAAATGGCATTTCCTGCATTTTGGGAAGATGTTGTTATATTAGTAATCCTATAAATTGCCATTAAGTAACTTCATAAAAAGGTCAAAACAGACTATTATGTTGCTAAAAACAGCATGTTTATGATATTTCTTTTTTTACGATATTTCCCGAATATTCTGAAAAATCAGGAGAATTTGATAAAAATCGGGAGACCAGGAGATTGTATGAACTTTCGGGAGACTCCCGGTAAAATCGGGAGAGTTGGAATGTCTGCTAAAAGCTCCTATAGCTACTATGAAGTTAGAATCCAGGATCCGAACTAAATTGCAAGCAAAATCCACAATCTCACTTGACAGAGCCAAAATATTAGGTAAATGCGCTATCTGCTGTATTAATAGAGTCTGCAAATCCATGTAAAATATTCTCCAGATCCAAATTTTTTTTGGTGCAATCTGACGATCTGAAAACCTATTCACCCCTCCCCATTATGTACCTGCTATTGATGGTTGACGTTGCAGTGTGCTTCATGTCGCCATGTATTAAATGTATTTAAATGTCACAAGTTCATATTAATGTACAAAACATCCCCTTTCTGATTCAAATTTGCCAGGTGTCTGACATAAATATAGTATAATCATCATGGACTGAGCTATATGTATAATAATCTGGCATTAGACAGAGTAAAATAATAGTGTGGGGTGCATCAGGGGCAGTGCCACTTAAAGGAGATTACAGGATGCATTGGCAGATCATTAACTCACTGAATAGCAGCAGTCTCCCCTTGACGAGTAGAATCATCTGTTGTTAGACAGCTAGAGTAAAATGATAAAGTAGGGTGTAATTGCTACTATTTTACCCAGTCTTTTACTGCAGCAAGGGGAAAGTGCTGGGTAAAACACAAGCTAGCTATAGTGGTTGATTATAGGTGCCAGTAACGTACCCAGCCCAATGATTTAGTCCCGCTATGCAAGTATTTTTGTGTTCATTGACTGTGAAAACAATCAATTTCTAAAGAAATCAATAATGATAGTAATTTTGAATTTGCATAGCGGGACTAAATTGTTGGGCTGGCTACACCACTGATAGGTGTATGAATTAATCCTTTAAGCAGCAGTGTGCTCTAATGTGCCCTTATTATTTTGGCCCAAGCTATTAAATTAACATCTAGATGTGATCAGTGCTATTATATATTTATTACCTATAATTTATAATATATTATTATTTAATACAATATTTGCCCTTTTTTACTTGCATGAATTTATTTAGTATCCAGTTAGTTGATGTGATATCATATTTTGCTGATCATGGCTGATGACTTTCTAACACAAGTTCACTTTACTGGAGAGTCTGGTTGTGTGAAGTTTGTTCCAAATCCCTTCAAAGGAAACATATGTGTGACTTGCTCTAAGGAAATTTTCAAACATTACAAGAGCTCCATCGAGAGCAAAGAAGTTTTGATGAAGGTGGGGGAAATTTGTGTATGGTCAAACCTTACCTTGTAGGCATCTCTCTAATATGGATACCTCTCTAATGCAGGCACCTCTCTGATGTGGACACCTCTCTAATACAGGCACCTCTCTAATATGAACACCTCTCTAATACAGGCACCTCTCTAATATGAACACATCTCTCATGCAGACACCTCTCTAATGTGGACACCCCTCTAATACAGGCACCTCTCCAATATAAACACATCTCTCATGCAGACATCTCTTTAATATGAACACATCTCTTAAGCAGACACCTGTCTAATGTGGACACCTTTCTAATACAGGCACCTCTTCAATATAAACACATCTCTCATGCAGACACCTCTCTAATATGAACACCTCTAATACAGGCACCTCTCCAATATAAACACATCTCTCATGCAGACACCTCTCTAATGTGGACACCTCTCTAATGCAGACACCTCTCTAATATGAACACATCTCCTAAGCAGACACCTCTCTAATGTGGACACCTTTCTAATACAGGCACCTCTTCAATATAAACACATCTCTCATGCAGACACCTCTTCAATATAAACACGTCTCTCATGCAGACACCTCTCTAATGTGGACACCTCTCTAATATGAACACCTCTCTAATACAGGCACCTCTCCAATATGAACACATCTCTTATGCAGACACCTCTCTAATGTGGACACCTCTCTCATGCAGACACCCGTCTAATATGGACAGCTCTCTAATACAGGCACCTCTTTAATATGAACACATCTCTCATGCAGACACCTCTCTAATGTGGACACCTCTCTAATACAGGCACCTCTTTAATATCAACACACATCTCATGCAGACACGTCTCTAATGTGGACATCTCTCTAATGCAGACACCTCTCTAATATGAACACCTCTCTCATGCTGACACCTCCCTAATGTGGACTGCACCTCTCTCATGCAGATACTCTCTAATGTGGACACCTCGCTAATACAAACACCTTTCTAATACGAACACCTCTCTCGTGCAGACACCTCTCTAATACAGACACTTCTCTAATGCAGGCACCTCTCTAACATGGACACCTCTTAAGTCAGAAACTTCTCTAACAGGAGGCCTCTCTCATATGGACACCTCTCTGGTATGGATTCCTCTCTAATGTGGACATCTCTCTAATAAGGACATCATTCTAATGCATGCACCTAATACGAAAATATATACACGTCTCTAATATATACACGTCTCTAATATATATGTCTCTAATATGGACATCTCAGTCTATACTATGGACACTATTCTATTACAGATACATCTTTAATGCAGATATCTCTCTAACACAAACACCTCTCTAAACTACAACTCCCTAATACATACAACTCTCTAATACGGAAACCTTGCTAATACGGAAACCTCTCTAATATGAACAACTCTCTAATATGAACATCTCTAATATGAGCATCTCTCTAATACTGACACCTCTCTAATACTGACACCTCTCTAATATGAACATCTTTCTAATACAGATCTCTATAATACGAATACCTCTCTAATATGAACACCTCTCTGATACGAACATTTCTCCAATACTGACACCTCTCTAATATGAACATCTCTCTAATACTGACACCTCTCTAATATGAACATCTCTCCAATACAGTCCTCTATAATACGAATACCTCTCTAATGTGAACACCTCTCTGATACGAACATTTCTCCAATACTGACACCTCTCTAATATGAACATCTCTCTAATACTGACACCTCTCTAATATGAACAGCTCTCTAATGCAGACCTCTATAATACGAATACCTCTCTAATATAAACACCTCTCTAATGCGAACTTCTCTTTAATGCGGATATCTCCCTGACAGAAACACCTCGTTTTAACACAGACACCTTTCTAACATGGCCATCTCTCTAATACGGACATCTCTCTAACACAAACACCTCTCTGAACCTACAACAATATAATAGTAGAGTTATGCTGATTTTTACAGTACTTCATTTATTTAGGCCTTGGAGTACACCCAGTCTATGGATAAACTAGGCAGTGTCATAATACCAAGTGATGAAGTTACTAAGGTGGGAGGTCTCTATCTTGGTGGTTATAGACCGTCAATTAACAGACAGTTTCTGCAAAGCCAGCATATTACACATATTCTTAATGCTGCCGCAGGATTGGTGAACTTTTTTGGACCAAAATATGAGGTAAGAAACTACGGATACCTGAAATTTACAAGGAGAAATTCGAGGTTTCGAGCGAAGGCCTTTCGTCGTTTGCTGTATAACTTCCCGTCGAAGGAACTTCGCTCGAAACGTCGAATAGGCAATACCAGTTATAGACGAAATTTTGATTCAATCATAAACCTATTAGGGATTGCTATAGACGATGAATTAAAGTTTGTGAAACACATTAGAGATATATGTAGTAAGGGAGGGAAAAAGGTGGGGGTACTTATGAGGTTCAGGAACTTGATACCGACTGAAGCCAAATTAAGAATCTTTAAAGCTTTTATACTACCCCAAATAACCTACTGTCACATAGTATGGCATCACTGTTTGTCATCAGACAGAAGGAAAATAGAGCCATTACAAGAGCGAGCACTTAGGGCCATATATTGTGATAGGAGCAGCTCGTATGAAGATCTCTTAAGGAAAGGCAAACTTCCTACATTGTACAATCGTAGACTCCAGGACATAGCCATAGTTATGTATAAAGTGAACAATAATCTAGCACCCTCTGATGTATGTAATCTTTTCAAACACAACACCAGCAATTACAATCTTAGGAATGTAAGTGATTTCTCCATACCTAGATTTAACACGGTTACGTATGGGAAACACAGCTTGAGGTATATGGGCCCGTTCATTTGGTCAAAGATCCATAAGTCCATAAAAACGGCTATATCCTTAGATACGTTTAAAAGACACATACGGCAAATGGATATAGCCGACTTAATTTCCAATAGTTGTACTAATTGCTATTTATGCAACAATTAATCGACACTAATTATAGATATTTGTTATAATATATTTATTCTGTTTATATAGTTAATAGTAGTTAATATAGGTAGGTGTCCCCAATTAGTTTCTTTGTAAACTAGAATTTATTTGACACAATAATAAAGTTTTTGATTGATTGATTGATTGATTGATCTCTGCTAGAAGAACAAAAACCATTACCATTTACCACAGCTAGAAAGAGCATGTCAAAATTAGTAAAATTGCAAAGTTTGGCCGCGAAATGTTGTAAAATGAGGAAAATATAG